TTTATTATTTATTTATTTTTTAATTTATATATTTATGTGTGTGTATATATATATATATATATATATATATATATATATATATATTAAAATTAAAGCTGCAGTAGGTAATTTGTAGAAAAATAACTTTTTGTCAGCTTCCTCTGGCTCCTCCTAGTGCGCCCAAATGGCACATACATAAATCCCATTAGGAGGAGCTAGAGGAACCTAATTTTTTCACAGATTATCTGTCTCATGTTGTACTATCAGGATATAGTGAAAGATTCAGCAAATATGACACAAAGTTATTTTCAAGTTACCTACTGCAGCTTTAAGGGTTCGACACACATGAGTATCTTTTTGAATCTTGCCATGCTGTCACATGACCTGAGTACTTTAGGACCCCCTAAAGTGCTATAAGTGATATTAGGGATACGTCTTCCACCACTGGTTGAAGAGTTATACAGCATTACAGTTTACCATGCAGACGACAGAAAGCCACAGCGCTAGAGGAAAAGGTCACAGGGTCCGTAAACTCAAGATATTTCTTCCCGTTGGGAGTTTTTTTTTGAGTCAGAAGATATGCTTTTAATTTGAAAATGAAAAGGTTGCCTGATTGTGCCACTAAAGGAAAGGTCATATTCAACAGGTTCCCTCTTCTCAGGAGAGTGAATGTGCAGAGCCATGGGTTTTAGTTTGGTTCCAAAATGGAAGAAACTAAACAGATTGTGACTTCCTCTCTAAAATTTAACAACCTTCATCTACGTCTCTTTCAAATATCACAGTGCATAAGCTTTATATATATACTGTGTGTGTGTGTGTGTGTGTGTGTGTGTGTTACAGGGCACTTTGCAGCAGTTTGTGGACGATTTCTTCCGCAGCGTGTTGGGCTCGAGCTCTGTCGTCCCTCCTGCCGTCAAATACTTCTTCGACTTCTTGGACGAACAGGCGCTGAGACACGACAACGTGGACGAGGAGACCCTGCACATCTGGAAGACGAACAGGTACACGACACAGACGCACTCTCACAGCTGTGTCAGACCTCCGTTTGTTTGGTAGAAACGTTTTCAGAACTTCACAACTTTACAGACAGTTGGTACAATCACAGTGGGGTTGCTTTTTATTTTTCAGTTCAAGATTCAGTATTTATTGTCACACCAAGCAACAGTTACTAAACACTACAGGTGAATAGGGTATAGGTTTCAGGGTTTCGTTTTCTTGACATATTAGAGAGGGAATTTCTCTTTTTATCACTCCATAAATCAGAAGATATTGTCTATAGCCATAAAAAAAAATCTATTTTTGCCATGTTTTTAGTTAATGATGTATAAACAAACGTCTGTAAAAACTTGTTTGATTATTGCCACGATTAATTATAGTAGTAATCAGCAAATATTGAAATATGCCTGTTACCGTTTCTCAGAGCACAAGGTGAAGTCTCAAAATGATTTATTTAGTCTAAAACCCAAATATTTACAATCATATTAAACAGAAAGAAGCAGCAAATCCTCACATTTGAGACATAAACTTTTTTAGCATTTTTGCTTGAAAAATAACTGAAATATGAATCAATTATCAGAATGTGCTTATTTATCAGGTCAATAGACATAGTTGAGTGTAATTGAGTAATGGTGTTGCCGGTTCTTGCGCTGTACAACCTTTATGGAGGAATATAGACAACAGGAAAGCATCTGTGATTGAAATGTGTGATCAGTATCCCTGCTGTAAGTGGGAGACTAAAACTCTCCTTTGACGTCATTCAAACACTCGGATCGGACTCTCAGAAACTGACTGACTGATATATGTGACTCTTTAACTGATTCGACGCCTGCCAGCTTCTCTTCAAAAGCTCCTCAGAATCTCAGCTGGAGAGATACGACCTGCGAAGAAAACCTGCTAAGCGAAATAATTACACCGCTTCTCAAGCTGTGTGTGTGTGTGTGTGTGTGTGTTATACCTCATCAACTAAACTAGAGTGTAATTATGTCCTCGTCACCGTTAAAGCGAGGCAGTCGACAACATGAAAGCCCGATCTGATCGTCTGTTATCAGGACGGATAAATGATGACAGAGCGGAGACGTTGGAGGCAGATGGAGATGGAAAGATTGCTTTTTTCCCTTAACTTTTCTTGCTTTCAAACTGGCCTTGAGCTCCACCTGTCAATCATCAGGAAGACACACATGCACATACACACACACACACACACACATAAACACGTCGGACAATGAAATATTCATTAGCTGTAGTGAATTATTGACGAGGGTCTGTGGAGGCAGATACGGAGCAGGAGGAGATGAAAGGACGGAGGGAAAGGGAAACAGTGTGTCAGCAGGTCCTTAAAAAGTCTGAAACTGACAGGGGTGGAAAGTAACTAAATCCTCTTACTCGAGTACTGTACTTAAAGGTCCAGTGTGTAACATTTAGGAGGATCTATCAGCAGAAATGTAATATATAATATTCATAATTTATGTTTTTATTTGTGTATGATCACCTGAAAATAAGAATTGTTGTGTTTTTGTTTGTCTTTCTTCTATTATATCTAGTATCTTGAGATCACATCATTTAATATGATAAATAAATAAATAAATAAATAAATAAGACACTAACTAACTAACAGTGACAATGTCAGTGTTATTAGTTTCAGACAAACTTCAGCAAACCTTTTAAAAAGCTTTTTATTTAATGAGGTATCCAATTCCAGGTTTCATTTAGTTTTTTGCACCATATTTGTATTGATCTTATTTAATTTAGCATCTAGAAGCAACAACAACAACGTCAGTAAACAGTAGAAAAATTAAAAGGGAACAAGCAGGTGGACAAAATGTAAGACTTAAGACAAGGAACAAAGTCTGATCTACAGCTCAACATCAACACAAGTTCCAGGTGTTTTTTGATAGTGTTTTAAAAGGTCTCAGTGTTGGCAGCAGGCGTCCTGATTCTCTGTCTGTCTCTGTCTCTCTGTGTCCTCAGCTTGCCTAGTCGGTTCTGGGTGAACATCCTGAGGAACCCCCACTTCATGTTCGACGTCCATGTGACGGAGGTGGTGGACGCGTCGCTACACGTCATCGCTCAGACCTTCATGGACGCCTGCACCAAGACGGAGCACAAGCTCAGCAGGGTCAGTCCCCCACCAATACAGATCGTACAAAGTGTTTAGGAGACAGGAAACTTTCTGCTCTCGGAGTCTGGAGCTTCACTCAGTCAGCTGCTCCTCCTGTAATTTAAATCCCATCCTGAGGGGCATTCTTGTATTTTAAAGGTCCAGTGTGTAACATTTAGGAGGATCTATGAGCAGAAATGAAATATAATATTGCATAGGTAGGTTTTCATGTTAAACTGCCAGGTTGCTACAGTAGCCCAGAAGAGACAAACCAAACACTGCCACTAGATAGGAAACTTGTGTGTTTGAGCAAAATATTCTATGTAAAGCTCCTTAAATGGGCTGTTGTAATGTCAGCTACCGGTAGGGCTCTGTTAAGCGCCGTTTTTAGCATATATTAGTCTACATTTTAGCAAATTAGCACCATTAAAAGTAAGCTGAATTAGCCATTAGCAGTCCCTGTTTGCAGTGTACCCATGGATGTACAGACCGCTATCACTGGATTACTTTGATACTGAAGAAAACCTAAAAATGGGATTATTCTAAGGCAAGTTCTGAAGGGCCTTTTTTCTATGATTTCTAAGTGGACTCAGAGTCGAGTGTATCTTTAACTGAGAACACGTCCCCAGTCCCTCACTGGCTGTTGTCAGCAGTCTTAGTGGTACACACAGGACGCGAGGAGGCCGGCTGATGGAAACTGGCTGCGGCAGGAGAGTTAATTACAACAGTTAATCATAAAATGAACCCTGCACTGTTTGAACACCACAGGCTGATAATAAGTAACAGTGCAGGAGTTGGGAGGAGTTCTCTTTTAAACATCTTCACTTCACAGAGTTTTGGAAGTTGATTCTGTGACCTAGAAATTGATCTTTTCTGTTTTATTCTCCTCTCTCTGACTGCAGGAGTCTCCCAGCAACAAGCTGCTCTATGCAAAAGAGATTTCAACGTACAAGAAGATGGTTGACGAGTGAGTTTGTAGCGCTAAATATACACAGAAACTGAACAGATGTGTGTGTAATTGTATTTGACAAAAACAGCTGTGCTGCAGAGGCAAAGAGTTCAACTGATGAGACTGAAAACGTATTAAACTTAAAGTTGTTACAACAGCAGAATATTATTAATTTAGTAATGCTGTTTGAGGTGTCCATTATCAGGAATTAATGACGTGGACGCCGGTACTGCAAACGCAAATGTTATGAATAATGACTAAAAAGAGGTTTCATGTACAGAAATATTACATTATGTTGCATCCTTTTATAATGGACTGAATGAAGTACACAACAGACTGTAAATAAATAATCGGATGTGATGTTCTGACTCTCTGTTTGTGTGTTTGTGTGTGTTTTCCACAGTTACTACAAGGGCATCAGACAGATGGTTCCAGTCAGCGACCAGGACATGAATACACACCTTGCTGAGGTGTCCCGGGTATGAAGTTACACTATTTATGTGGATAATTATGGAATAGTACTGTACTTCTTCACAAATTAAGAGTTTTACATATAAAAACATATGACGCACTGTTAAAGATGAGTTAAACAGTTATCATTCATCAGTATTAATGAATGAATGTTTGGATATATGTACTTCTGAGGTGTAATTATGATCAGAGGCAGGTTCCATTTTGGATATAAAGTATGGTCATTATTGCTGCCAAGTGCATTACTTTATGTTTTCTGATTGAAGCCTGAAATATGAGCATCAATAACAAACCCAGTACAACCAATAAAGACTTTAATCTTCGGATGAATTTGCTTTTTATGATTAGTTTTCTTTAACAACCTGATAAACCTGATAAGCATAAACCTAGAAACAAACTAGACATTTTTTATTACCACCATCTCTATGAAACCTGCATTACATTTGAATACCTGGGATTTTAAAATGTTTTAATATTTAACCTTTTATTTTCCACTTTGCAGCAACACACAGACAAGCTGAACACCCAGGTGGCCTTACATCAGCTGTACCAGTACGCCAGCAAGTACTATGATGTGGTGAGAAATGCCTTTCAGTTTGAAAATGTTATTACATACAGTTAAATTTCTACTTATGAGAGAAAAATGAATGCTGTATTCTTGCGGGTTCAGTTTCTGCTGGATATTTACTTTCTTTATTTCACCAAAATGATGTCACAGCCATTTGTATAACCTTTACCAAATGCAATGTTGTTATTATTGGGCTGATATTGGTGTTTTTTGTAATACAATCTCAGCATCATCAACCTCCAATATGGTTAAAAGTTTAAATGATTAGCTAACA